TATCTCTTAAGGACGGATTCCTGAGGTAATTTGAAGAAAAAAATCCTAATACAAAAATAAAGCTATAATATTTTTCGAATTATAAACGATTAAAATTGACCAATTATATTGGCTAAAGTACGCACGCTCAGTTATGGTACAACACACAATGGTACAGGTGCATACACATAAGTGAGAAATTGCATAAGATATGAAATTAGTTATAAATCCCTTAAAGAAACGTCAAATGTGTGACAGCTTACTGATTCTCATAAATGTATTGTGTGATATTTTATTCATAACATTTTGATGAGATTGTTATTATTTACGATATGTTTATTTTAATGATTGAAAAGGCAGATTATTATTACATATATTGTTGTATATATAGAACTTCCGTATCAATATTTGGAAAAGGGACGACATGTGCATGCACCTGTACCACTGTGTGTTATACCTGAACGCGCGTACTTTAGCCAATATAATTGGTCAACTTTAATCGTTTATAATTTGAAAAATATTATAGCTTCACCATTTTTGTATTAGGATTTTTTTATTCAAATTACTTCAGGAATTCGACCTTAAAAGATAATGTGATAGTGACGGGACACCCTGTATATCTAAGATATATCTGATTGGATATCGCTCATCGTATATCGCGTGTCGCGTCGTGCATCTCGCTGATCTGTGAAACTATTAGTGATTAGCGACGAGCGATGAGTGATATCCAATCAGAACTCTGCTTCAAGAAGAAATAAGAGCTCTCATTGGATATCGCTCATCGCTCGTCGCTAATTGCATCCAGTGTATAAGACATTGCAATCTGCCAGATTGAGGATGGACTATGATTGATCATTTTGCTTATTGCTACTGGCTTATGTACAGACCGAATTTAATAGATTTAAAACAAAAAAATAACTATTAGAGTAACGAATTAATCGTTACCGTTACTGAATAAATGTAACTACGTTACCATTACAGTTACCGATCAGAAAAAGTAACGCCGTTACCGTTATAGTTACCAAAAAAAAGTAACTGTAACGGTAACGACGTTACAAGTAACTCGTTACTTCCCAACCATGGTTTTAGATTTACATGTTATGGGCTTATAGATATCAGTCAGACGTACATCACCACTTCATGTTTTGTTTAAACAACCGTCTAAATAATTGTGCAAATTAAAAAAAGGGCCCATATAAAATATCACATATGAGTCATGTCATATGCTTTGTGCGTGTTGAATTTAAAAAAAATGGCGTGTCACACTTGTGTAGTGTCCTTTGTAAATTTAACGGTCCACATGAGTTAACTGTTGACAGTATCTCCGTACATGTAGTCAAAAATCTTTCCGTGTCATATTAGTAATAAACTTCTTCGTTTTTACTCATCACTTACAGTCGAGCTCTTGATTATAACAGGTTTCTTCTGTTATTAAAAAAAGAAAAAAAAAAAAAAAAAAATATATATATATATATATATATATATATATATATATATATAGAAGATAGAAGCGATGGTAGTATCATGCGTCAGCCTAGCATCACAGGTATAATTAGGATATTGAATAAATTATAAACTCCGAGAACGTCTGTATGTGATATAAACAAGGATTCTCCCTGAAAATCTGTGAAGAAAAAATAGTTTAAACGTATAAATTGTGACAATGAACAATGAGGTTAACGTTTGTTGTTACATTCTTCACTCTGTCTCGTTTAATTGAAGCAGAGATTGCACTATTAAAGTAACCGAATAAAATTGATTTGCAACCATCAACTCGATTGCGTCGTTAGTTTATTAAGGGCTGATAAAAAGTTTACAATTTCTAATGGCTGATACGGGAAATGGAATATATATTGAATTCCGATTAACATTAGCATTCAAAATTCAAACTAGCAAAAAATTTTTCAAGCATGACTCGAAATATTATCATCTACGAATAGCGATGGAAAAGTAAACTTTGATAGAAGAAGTCGTTGCCTGAACGCATGTTTATTGATAGATGAAAACCGACTGTCCTTTCAGTGATGACTGTGAAGCTATTTGAAAATATCGTCAATATATATCATATCTTTTAGTTGAGCAATGATAATATTTGATCTTAATTTAATAGCGTACAGTTTATATAGATATTCGCTGAATTATTGTCTGCTACTAATGCATTTTCATTAGTTGTAAAAATGAACAAGAATTGGATTCAGCGATTAAAATAATTTCCCAGATGCGCACAAACGGACATAGCCAACTACAACGCCGTATGCCTAGAGATATTCTAGAGACTCTATAAACAACGACATATGATTGGATGTGTCTGTTTGTCAATGTGCATATCTGAGACTCACTCAGCAATTTATACTCCACCGTACACTCCATTGTACAATATATAGACGAATGCTTTTCAATTATCAATAATATTAATTCAATTTTATAATATGCATATCTAATAATAACTCTCTCTCTCTCTCTCTCTCTCTCTCTCTCTCTCTCTCTCTCTCTCTATCGTAAATAAATATAAAAAAAGTATTTATTTATATTCTTGAAACAGAGGGAAGAGTTAAAATTATGTGAATAATAAGTGTAAAAAAGCATAGAGCAAGAAAAAGGAAATTGGAGAAAATAAAATATTTGACAATATTAAACTTTTAGCTGAACTTGTCAGCGAAAGAGAAATGGGTTATATGTCATTAATATAGAATTTTATTGTGCTGAATACATCAGAGTATTCTGGCATAATAGAAGTAAAAACTCAGAATTTGAAAAAATATTACAAATATGAATAAAAAGATTATATGTTGTTTGATGATTGTAAACAATGTTATGCAAAAATCTAAATATATTGAAATAACCAAGTAAACGTTAGATCAACATCATGAGAAATTGATATTAGATATATTTCTGGAATATCTCCGCTTAATATTTCAAAAATATTTCAGAGATATTTCCGGATAATATGGTTTTTATTATTTGCAAAAATATTTTAGAAATATTGAGATACCGAGATTATTCATAATAACGTTGATACAATGATAAAAACTATATATTAAAAAACATTATATGCTACTGAATATCATTGCAATAATGTTGCAGCAACGATTTTTTACTTAGTGCGTTATTCTGGGTGGGCCAAATGTATGGATACACACGAATAAATCTTCAGGACAGGATTTTTGGAAAAAGTGACCTGAATAAAAGTTACTCGGGCCTAAAATAACTATCTGCTGGTGACTTGGATATAACCTTGACCCCAGACTTCAAGGTTATTTGTAGGTCAACTTTGCTTTTTTACATAGAAACATGTATGTTTTATTATAGAATTTTATTCTACGTAATTAAACAACAACTTCTATTTGAAAAAAATGTTTATACCACCTCTATTTTCTAAGATATTTACAAAAATATCTACAAAATTATTGGTTTCAATAATTATTTTATTCGAATTCTATCAATTTTACCGGAAAATAGCAAGATATAAAAATATTATTATTTATTTTTTCTTCTCATAGAGAATTTCTCTACATAAACTTTTTAATACTTTAAGAAAATGCAAAAAATGCATTACTAAAAAATTAATTAGAAAATTCTAAAAAAATTCTCAGAGCTCTATAAAAAGAAAAGAAAATTTCTAAAAAGCTCTATAAAAAGAAAAGAATTTTTATCTCTTGTTATTTTTCGATAAAGTTGGTAGAATTCGAGTAAAACTTATTGAAATCAATAATTTTGTAGATATTTCCGTAAATATCTTAGAAAATAGAGATCGTATGAAAAAGTTTTTCAAATAAAAGTTGTTTGTTTGTTTATGTAGAATAAAATTCCATAATAAAAAATATATTTTTCTATTTAAAAAAGCAAAGTTGATCTCCAAATAACCTTGAAGGTTGGGACCAAGGTTAAATCAAAGGTCACCAGTAGATAGTTCTTTTAGGCTCGAGCAACTTTTATCCAAGTCACTTTTTCCGAAAATCTTGTTCTGAAGATTTATTCGGGTGTATATATTGTCCATATATTTGGCTCACCCTGTATTACGCATTACATTCGGTACTAGCAATAAAATTTTCAATGAATAAAATAATACACAAGAAATGAAACTAATGCCAAACTAAACCTATTCATTTTATAAGTAATATACTTGATTATTAATCAAATTATTAATTAATTATTAATCGAATAATTTTGTATCCATTTTTGTTCTGTTTTCATATAGCAAATAGTTTGCAATTTTGCGCATTCCTCGTGCACAGTAACTAGTAGGAAAAGTATTATATCTTGATTAGAATTCTATGCAGTTTTATACACATTTTAATTACTAGACAACATTCGTATAACAGTCCATTAACTGTTCAGAAATTTCATTAAATTCATATGCATAATTATAAGATAACATAGATAGTAATAGGTAAATAAGTTAATAATATTAAGTAGTAATACATTAATTAAACTTTAAATTAAGATTTTATTTGTATAACTTTTAATTTAATTAAGTTAATTTTGTAAGCCGCGCGAGGAATATATGTTAATTTACATAAAATACATCATAATGCGACTTTACAATGCAATTCTTGACGAGACTTCCTTTATTGGGGGCAAAAGATCAAATCTTTGTTTAATTCCTGACAATATAAACTTCGTCAATGACTCTTGCTGCATCGCTATCCACCTTTGTATTTATATCGGAACGTTATGAATTCCAGTACACAGTCAAGAGGAAGCACTGAAAGATCGTCAATTACCAAACCAGGGTGCGTGTAGTCCTCGGATCAAATTTTCTTTGACGTTCTTTGAGCTAGGTAAGTTTGTTAAATAATACCTCGTGCTCACGGTTTTACTACTGATTAGAGGTTCTTAAAAATTCCTTGAATAATCAATGATTTCGACTCTCATCTTGATTACTAAATTTAAAATATTATTAACTTTTTGTATATTAAATTTCAATTATAATTATTTATATGAACGAGATAGAGAG